CGTTACGATATACGATTCAAAATTTTCAAAAGCAACAACCCTAAACATTGATTGCTTCCTCCACCCCCATTTACCCTAAAAATTCAAATCAAATTACTTTATCATGACCAGCAAGAAGCAGAATCTGGAGTGGAAGTAACAACTACTTTCAAAAGCTGACACTGCCCACCGTTCATCTCCCTCAATCCAACGGCTCAAAAGTCAAAACCCTCCAAGGTTTAAATTAATAACCAAGTCATAATCTTTGATCGCGATTTCCATTTCTTCAACAGGAGGAACATTCAATTGATTTCCAACGAAAAGATTTGTACTTTCTGACAATTTAAGCAGTTTCTTCAATTGGGTCTGCGGGAAAATCTTCTGGGTATGTTTGGATAGCGAGAAAATTGCCGAGAAAATTACAGAATGCCTGTGTCGACTCGGTCTCAGACCAACTCAGTGGAGAGAAGCAAACCCGGTTCAGATCAAGAACCGAGCCACGCGAATCTTCCGCTAAGGAACCCACATCATGGATTGAAGGAAAAGATGAGAGCTTTGACGCTGCTCTACGAGCAGCAGAAGCAGGCCACGGCAGCGCTGAGGAACCCGAATCCGAAATCCGATCCGGAGCAGGTCCGATTCGCGAGCCACCCGAGCGTCGAGCTTTTCGGTTCTTGCAAAAAAGAGGAGAGAGAAGAACCGAAGCAGGGGAGCCACCACGTGATGAGAGAGAACAACAGCAACGCAATGCACAACTCCACCGTTACCAGAACTTACGTTCTGCCACAGCCGCCGCCAACCCACGCCAAGGAGAACGTGGCAGCGGCTGGATTAAACGACCGGATTCTCAGCTTTACTTCGTGTCCAAGAAAGAGCAAGGCTTCAACCCCGGTGGCGAGGAGGCTGTCAATGGGAGGTCACGTGCAGCACGTGCCGGGGCCGCCGCGGGAGTCCAGTGGGGTGGCGGAGGGGGCTAGGAATGTGCAAGAATCGGAGACCCCTTCGGTTTCGGAGACACCCACGAGTCGGATTCTTGTGTTTGTTAGGCTGAGGCCGATGGCCAAGAAGGAAAAGGAGGCGGGTTCCAGATGCTGCGTTCGAATTGTGAACCGGCGGGATGTTTACCTGACGGAGTTTGCGAACGAGAACGATTATCTGCGGCTGAAGAGGCTGCGGGGACGGCATTTCATGTTCGATGCTTCTTTCCCTGATTCCACTTCTCAGCAAGAAGTTTATTCCAGCACGTGAGTTTGGTTTAATTGGCTATTATTAATCAGTGATTGATTGGATATAATTGGTGTTTTGGTTTCTGCTTGAAAAAATCTTGGAACTTTGCATATAAAAATGTTCGAATTCGTCGTTACAGTCGTAATCGTGTTTGGTTTGATTCAATATTCGTGTTTGTTTGCTGAGAAAAAGCATGGTTCTTGTTGCGCTGGATTGGATCCCAAGAAATGGAAAATACTCTACAGCCTATGCTAGTGGTGGTGTTAGTTTCGAATTTTCGTGTCCCGTAAAATTTCTCAGTAACCAAACAGAAAGAGCAACCAACAATGTTGTGAATTGTGAATGAACTGGTGTTAATGTTGTTTGTCTCAGTAATCCTTTCCATTTAAATTTGTAAATTTTAACAAAACCGGTATGTCATCTGTTTTTTCAGTACAGCAGAGCTTGTGGAGGCAGTACTGCAGGGGAGGAATGGATCAGTGTTCTGCTATGGTGCCACTGGAGCTGGAAAAACATACACAATGCTCGGCACGCTGGAGAATCCGGGAGTGATGGTTTTGGCAATCAAGGACCTCTTCACCAAGATAAGGCAGAGGAGCTGTGATGGAAACCATGTGGTTCATCTGTCCTATCTTGAGGTCTATAACGAAACCGTGAGGGATCTGCTCTCCCCCGGAAGGCCTCTTGTACTTCGAGAAGACAAACAGGTCTGCCTCTTATCTTGCATCTCACATTACTTTGCATACAACTCACAAGGAAATGTATTTGATGTAAGAGTAATAGTAATGTCATATATAGTATGTGTTTGCTGTGTGTATGCGAAAACATGTAGAAGGGAAAATCTAAGAGCTATGTAGTTTCTTAAATTGAAACTAGCTGCATTATTTCGACCAATCCAATCTTAGAACATACTGTTTCTATACGGGTATCTCAAACGCATCTGCGTCTTATTTTTATAATGTGGTGAAGTTCTTGATGATGTTAGTGAAAATCAATTTGTGTTCAAATGTATTGCAGGGAATAGTGGCAGCCGTCTTACACAATACAGAGCTTATTCCGCCGATGAAGTAATTTCTTAGTCCCTTTTTGGATGGTTTGAAAAGTTAGATGCTTTGCTTAGAAGTTAATCTATTGTTCGGTCTTTCTTTTGGTTCGTGGCAGGTTATGGCATTACTTCAGCAAGGAAACCAAAACCGAACTACTGAACCAACTCGCGCTAATGAAACTTCCTCACGGTCCCATGCTATTTTGCAGGTAACAATTGAGATATGGCTTGTTGAGTTCTGAAAACTTGCAATTATTCTGACTCAATTTGATTGTTTCTTCCTTGTATATCCAGGTTGTGATTGAATACCGAGTAAAAGATGCTTCTATGAATGTGGTCAACCGAGTAGGGAAGCTCTCACTAATTGATCTTGCCGGGTCAGAGAGAGCCCTTGCCACGGACCAGAGAACAGCTAGATCTCTTGAGGGTGCCAATATAAATCGGTCACTCTTAGCACTGAGCAGCTGCATCAATGCTCTTGTGGAAGGAAAGAAGCACATACCTTATAGGAACTCAAAGTTAACCCAACTTCTTAAGGATTCTTTAGGAGGAGCTTGTAACACTGTGATGATCGCGAACATCAGCCCTTGCAATCTCACCTTTGGTGAAACCCAAAACACGCTTCATTGGGCAGATCGAGCAAAGGAAATCAGGACTAAGGTCAGTCCTCCTAACTTATCCAATCTTTTAAGTGGCATAAGCTGTTGGAAATTTTGTTTTGCTGCATTACTTGCTTGTCAGCAGACATTGGTTTCTGTTGTCCTTGAAATTTCATACTTTCATGGCAACTCTAGATAATGTCTCTTTCCTTGTCATTTTACACAATTGCAGGCGTGCGAGGTGAATGAGGAGACACTGCAATTACCGGAAACTGATACTGATCAAGCCAAGCTATTGCTTGAATTACAGAAGGAGAATCGTGAACTGCGAGTACAACTTGCACACCAGAAACAGAAGCTATTAGTTGTCCAAGCACAGTCCTTCGCTGCAAATGCCTCTCCAACGCCTTCTTCGGTTGCATCCCTCTTGACTCCTCCAACTTCTGCCCAAGCAAATGACAAGCGGAAACCCAGACCCTCTTTCTTGACCCGGACTTGCTTCACACCAGAGTCCAAGAAAAGAGGGGCTGAGGAAGCAGTTAGAGATCTTCGCCGGACTGTAAAGACATTGGAGGCAGAAATAGAGAGGATGAAGAAAGATCACACTTCACAGCTAAAGCAGAAAGATGATCTCATTCGTGAGCTTTTGAGGGGAAGTGAGAAAACACCAGGAGCAGGGAGGGAGGGTGGGGAAAAGAGGGCAGTGACAAGGACTAGCTTGAGACTGCAGGAGCCGAGCACAAAGAGGATCGTTACAAGAGCTAGCATGAGAAAACAGGAGGCAAGCATTGGTGAATTGAAGAGCCCAAGTCACCGTTTCAGGTCACCAGTCCCAACAGCTAAAAAACGAAGCTTTTGGGACATAACAACTGCAAACAGCCCATCAGTTGCTACATTAAATGGAAGAAAAACTAGAAGCCATGTCATTTCTGAACCTGCTGCAGCTCCCTCCATGCTTCTTCAGGTAATCTAATTGTTCTCATCGTCTTCCTTTCCTTCATCTTGTTTCTGATAAAAGAAAATTGTAGCAAAGAATCGCATGTGTGTATGAAACTTCACAACAAAGCCTCCTTCCCCCGAAAGTCTCGTGGCCTCTCCTACCTTTTTAATCTTTTATGTATAAGTTTCATAGTTCTGCAACTGATGCAGCTTGCCTATCCATGTTTCTGGTTTGTGATATTTTTTGGACCGCACATCATCAATTACGCACCATTCAGCCAGGTTTTGCACGACAAAAGCCCGAGCGTTTGAAGTAGCACGGGAGATGGTAGAAGAAAAGAAAGAAAGACTACTTAGGTCAATCTGGAAGATGGAAAGACGTTGGCATTCTGGCAAAAGCACTTCCTACCAGCAATATTTTCTCTGACGGATCAAGCCTGTAGTTCAACATGGAAGAAAAACTGTAACTTTGTAGGTGGCGCTGCTGTTACTTGTATGCCATCTTTCGTCATACAATTTCATTTGTGGAGTTAGCAGAACATGTTCCATTAGTTCTTTTCAATCTTCAGCATTATCCATTATTTATTCCAAATCAATAAATTTCAGTCTGTATATTCTCAGTAATCATTTCTCACTTCATATTCTTTCGGCATTATGTATCTGCTTCACTATATTCGCTGAAAGCGGTTATTTTCCTTATAAAAACTAGATTACTAAACGCTGCAACGGAGCTTCAGGTTTTTAACAGAATCTGTAACTGGAAAGAAATGCAGGTTTTTTATAGTAACGCTCAATCGCAGAGAAGATCATAGTAACATTTGCATTATACAAATCAGATAGTCTAGAACACGAGAGTTGACACAAATCTCTACTCTCTATATAGATTAAGCGCTGCCACTTTCGATAGGCATACAAATTCTATATTCGAAGGCACTCTATTTTTAAGCCGGTTCATAGCATGATCTTTTGCTCTCCTTCCTCCTCCATAACTTTCTCTGTCCTATTCACTCCAGTAGGATGAATAACACACCGCTTGACAGAATCTACAACAATTTTATCGAGTCCAACAACAATCTCTATCAAGTACATGACAAGTTCAACAGCATTTCTTCGACTCAACAAGTGATCTGCATAATCCACCAACTCCAAATGCTTGAGTTTTGTTAATACTAGAAATATTGCCCGCGCGTTGCTGCGAGATTAAAAACTGCATGAAAAAATATGTTTCAAAAGGATAAAAGATTGTTACAAATGATTAATGTTATCTACACTGAAAGATGTTTCAACTTTTTGAAAAAAGTTTTACATGAAAAGTATAAATTGAGTGAATCAAGCTCTTGAAGCTCTTTGAACCACTTTATGAGCCTAATTGGTACAATTGAAAATGAAGAGTTTAATCAAACTTTATGAACATAATTGAAACAAATTAATACCTTGACTGACTAAATGAACCGCAAATGAAAACATCTAAAATCCTATTCATTAAGTACAATTACCAAAGGAAGCTGAATAAAACGTCAAAAGTGATACACTGAGATAAGGTTGGTGGCGTCAAAATCACTAATAAAATATGCATCAAAATCACTAAAACTTGGCTTCACTTGCTTGTTAAAATATAAAAAATTCAAATAATATTGTTTCCAAAAACTTGTCTAAAGAAAAGAACACCATTCACCTCTAAGGCTCTAACCATTTTTTGGTGGGTGGGATGGACGCGCTTCCTCTTCCACATTTAAAGACCAATGTTGGGGGTAGACCAAGAGTCAGTGCAACCCGCAGCAAAAAAAAACGCAATTGACTTTCACACTACAGAAATAAATGTTAAAAAACACATACTTGCACCCAATGCTTTTTTTTTTTTTTTTGGGTGCAGTATAAGAATAAAAAAGGATAACATTCCCCCGAAACCCAAATTCATCCCCCAATTTCTTGCAACAAAATTTTAGTAATTACAAACGTCCCAAACTTACTAAAAGGTTTTCAATAACCTTCTTGCATTGCAGGGTCCAAGAAGAACCAAACCATTTCAGGAACTCACATCGCAAACATAATAGAACTAATTCAAATATGAAAATCCACAAATCATAATGCTTCTCTCTAGTGAATCATCTTCATGGACCGCAACTTCTAAAATCCTAAAAGGCTTCTTTCTTTCTCCACTATCTGAATGTTCCATTTATTTTCTACTATTGAACTAAATTTTCACTTAATTAAATCTCAAACACTTCCAACTAAATCTTAAATCAAACAGAGTTGTTCAATTATATTAAACTACACATAGGGAGAGGGAAAGAGAAGAGAGACCTGGAATTTCCAGGATCCTCAGCACTGAGAGGGGCATAATTCCGATTGGGATTCAAAAGCAAAGTATACACCAAATGCCATATCAGTGTTGTCGGATGCTGAAAAGTAACTGTAATCCAGGGAACAATTTCGTTTATAAGCAAAATACAAAATAATTAGAAAGATTCCGAGAAAATTTGTGATGGTGGAAAACATAAAAGCCAAACTAAAACTATAAGCCTGTATTAGAGGTTTATTAAATCCAATGTTGAAACCTATTTAATAGGATTGTTCAAAACCTAAAGAAGGATTGAATAGTCTTGATAGAGTAGAGGGAAAAGAAGAAGCAAGCCACTATAAAATTACAAACATCGTCCAACTAAGAACAATATGTAAAAAAGTTGGCTACTTATTTGTAAGATGGAGAATAAATGAAGGCATGCTCATGGATATGGAGGCTAATGAACATGGTTAGATACTGGGTATGTATATCATTCATTTAGTAGATATTGAGGGCAGGAAATGTAGTTTCATAATTGGAGAAGACCACTTAGGAAGAAAAATACAACATAAATGTGAATTGCAAATATAAATCCAATTTTCAAACTAAATTCACTAATATAAATCTGAAACTTGAATTATTTATGTTTTCTATTAAAAGTTCCAGTGCTTATCTTCTAGCCATCATACGTCTAAAACAATACTTTTTCATCCAAATTTTTGAAACCATTCATACTCATACCAATCAACTCTATCGTGCTCAAATCAATTCCGTCTAATACGTAACAAAAAATTTGTACTTACATCTTTACCATACCATGTCTCCTTTTCATGTCCATTAGTGAAGTCAATATCGTCGCACCAACTGACCATTATTTTGCAACTGTGAAAGATAGATCTAGTTAAAATCTACCCCACGGGGTCTTGCCACTGGAGGAGCAGCTTCCGCCACCGTAAAAAGCATCGCTTCCTCAAGAGAATGTCTCCTTGTTTCCTTTGGAGCTCCACATGTGGCTCCATCCTTTACCAAACTATTGGAACTGATGCTCATATCTACTGGTTTAGGAGCTGGTTGTTTTGCATTCTTCGCAACCCAGTCTTCCCTCATACCTGAAAGTTCCCAAGAAAGTTAAGAGCAGAAGGAAATAATAACTGACGCATTCTCCATGTTCCACATAAAGCTCATAATTAATTTTAGAAAACAACTTACTTGGCACAAATAGCTTTCTCAGTCCCAAAATTTGGTGGCAATTCTTTTCCCAATAACTATTTCCCTTTTCATTCACTTGTCTACACAAAAGTACATAGAGAATTAACTAACAGGATAATGAATCAGAACGTAGTAGGTTAGAAAAGATCAAAAAACACAGAGAGCAAGAATGTGAACACTGAACTTCCGTTTTCTAACAAATCAAAGCACCCTAATAACAAAACTCACAAACCTGGAAGGTCCTCTTGCGCTTATCAACCACGACGCTGAGCTGATTGAGCAGCTGCTGCACCATCTCTAGCCAATTCAAGAGCAAGCACACCATTAAAAATCTCGAAACAAACCGATGCTTCTTGTTCCCCCAGCTCAGGTCCTGAAACATGCACTCCTTGAGTACTCTCTGCTCAGAATCACCTCGTGGAATTGCCTCGTGTGCATAAGGAAGCAACTGCAACTCAATGAGACAGATTACTGTAAAGTAAATCATGGTTCCCAATCCAAATACATATGCTAAGCAAAGCACAAATAAAGACATGAAATCATTGTAAATTTTGAATAAAATCTCTCTCTCTCTCTCTCTCTCTCTCTCACACACACACACAAAATAGGAGAAGCAGATTTGCAGAGACATAAAAGGGTAAAAAATGAAGAGGCAACAAACGGTAGGAAGAGTATAAGGAATGTTTAAAACCTTCTTAGAATTAACCACATTTGGATTTGTTCAAAAAATTACAGAAAAGAATTACCAACTACATTACACTAACATTGTTGTCCCACTAAAAAAAAACTCACCAAAAATAGTCTCCGTGGTTAAAGGGATTCTGTCTGATTCCAAAACATATATCTCTCACTGTCAATCAAATATGTACTAAATCAGTGTAATGCACTATATCATGTTCCGAACCACAATGCATTCAAAGCAATAATCAATTGAGCACACTAAATAAGTGGAAACATTTATACCTCAATCCAATTTGTGCCTCCTCATGTTTGCTTGTAGTTACAGACTTTGATAGGGTTTCCATTTTCTTCCAACTGAAGAAAGGAATTGGCATCTAGTTATGTTTCAATAGTTATGTGTTCAATGCGAGGGAGAGCCAAATCCAAGCAGTAGGTTTCCGTTAACTTCCCACCAAGGAAAGTAAAATCAATTGCAACGATAAAGAAAAAGCACAAACTTATAAAATATGATACAAAACCATAAAAAGCAGGAAACGGTATTCTCAAAATGCACAAAAATATAAAAACAGATAGATCCCTACGTATTCAACCTTCAGAGCACACAAAAAGTTAAAATTTTCTTCAATAAAAAAGTCAAAGGGAAAATCTGAAATTATATAGCCCAAGCACAAACAGCTTGGAAGCCTGCACACAAAAGCCCCAAAAAACTACAGCCACACTCAAAATCAGAACGCAGGAACAAAACTCCAAAAATGAAAAAAAATAAAATATTTACAGAAAACGGATCTGCAAATGGAACAGAACCCCAAAATATTTAAATTTTGTTCAACAAAAGATATAATATGAAAAACAGAAATTATATACCTTGATAAGAAAGGGCTTCCAATCTTGTATGCAAAAACCCCATAATTCGAACCCCAGCCTTTCCTGAAAGCAAAAACCAAATCAAATCAGGCAACCACACACAAATCCCAAAAAAAAAAGTAAAAATCAAGCACACTGAGAAAGACTAAAAACTCACCAGGAAACGCTAGGTTATGTGAGCAAGAAATTGGATTCCGACCGAATTCAAAAAAGGCAGAAACTTGTAAGGGTTGAGGGTTTTCAAACAAAAGAATTTTGCAAGAGCGCAAAAGTTTCTGACCAAGAACCGGCGTCGATAATTGGCGAGAGAAATATGCAAACGGCAGATAGAAAAGAAAGGAAGACTGATTTGCAGAGCTTGTGTGAAGGGGATGAATTTTCAAATCGCTGAAATCTCTCTCTCTCTCTCTGTCTCATCTCCCTCTCTAAGAAAATCCCTAAAATCCCTCCACAAATCCTCCCATATCTCTCTCTCACACACACTCTCTATCTCAGGGGGTCCATCCCCCGAATCCTCATCGAATGACAACGAAGCCAAACCTACCCACAATTCGCTCAAAACATTAGAGGACCAAATTGCCCTTCCAAACACATCATCCCTACCGTCGAATTTTAAGCTTTGATGGGCAGAACTGTCATCAAACGACAGAGGGTCCAACCGAGGGCCGGGCTTTTACCGAAAACTAACGAAGCCCATGAAAAAAATTGAGGCAGCCCAAACCCCAACCCAGCCACAGATTTGGTGGCAGCAGTGTGTAAATAAGGCAAAATCAAGGGACAAAATTTTGACTGTAGCTAAGCTACAGTCAAATCCTTCCTCAATTTTAGAATAGATAATAGGAAAGACAAGACCAGCATTGTATTCCTGAGAAACAACAAAAGGGTGAGTAATAGCATAATCCAACAAAAAAAAAACAAATATATCAATTGTAAATACTAACCCCTCTATAAATATTCATCATGAGCGTGTCTAGCTGAGAAACACAGCATGAGAGTTGGGTGAAGGAATGACTAAGGCCGTCGACATCGTCGATGGTAAAACAATCCATGGATACCTCAACCAGCAAAGGTACATTACTTAGGAGCAAGTCTATCTTATCGTCAATGCTAATAAACGAACAAGGGTTCGTTTTCTAATGTCAAAAACTGATCATTCCAGCTAACTGCCCAAAAGAAAATCTACCAGCATCGATCTACAGCAGTGCATGAAATATCTTGTGCATCGCTATTTTTATTGGTTTCTAGACGCCACTATTTTTCTTCTAGGTAATGCTAGGGAGACTAAATTTGTAAACATAATTTTGAAAACTAAAGAACACGAAAGTTGATGATTGGTTTATTACTTAAGCATTAATAAACATGTTTTTTCCTGTTGTAAACTTAACTTGATTACTATAAGCTGCAAAGTTGCTCCAGTTTTTCCACTGAATCCAACCACCATGAATCTAGCAATTGGAAAAGAGTTCACATATGATGTTAACATATTACAACATAGAATGATGTGCGATAGGTAATCTGGATGGGTTAAATGCAACCGAATTCTATAAATGGTGGCGTTCGTGGTTCATGATTCGTAAGAGGGTTCGCAATATATGTAATTTCGTTTTCCATTTAGGAGTAGGAAACCTCACAACCTAAATCGCTCTTTTATAAGGCGAACTATTGTCTCAATATTGATGCCTTATGGTATTAAACCAAACATGTTTCCCTTAATTACTGATGAACAAAATTCAACCATCGTGAATGCAGCAATGGCGCGAGAATTTACAGATAAGTGTTTAATGCAGTACAATTATTTGCATGCATCTGCATGGATCACGTTAGTTGGACTAGAAGAACAATGATCTATGCATACGTAATTACCTAGAAATGGGACGCTGGCGTTATCTTAAAACAATGAAGCATGTCATGTAGGAAAGTTAAAACACATAACATGATTTGATTGGTCTGACATATCGTCACAATATAATTGTGTCCCTAACTCAACCTAGAAGTGCATATGAAGACACCCCCCTCCCCCGGGAGCATTTTTGCTCACCACCTTATTAATTACCGTTAGATGAGTTTAAATTTCGAGATTCGTGTAGTGAATAAGCACGAATCTCAAAATTAAAACTCATCTAACAGTAATTAATAGGGTGGTGAGCATACACCACACTAAATGATGATGAGCAAAAATGCACTCACACCCCCCCTTCTCTCTCTCTCTCTCTCCCCCTAAATAAGGCCACTTGACTCGAAAAGGCAATCCACCCTAAATAAGGCCACTTGACTCAAAAAGGCAATCCACTTCTCATCATCCGGGCCTTAATTCGGCTTAATTATATTAATTAACCCCCCATTAATTTCAACTTTGAAGCATAATTTAGACAATCCACTTGTCTAATTAAGGAAAAATATACATGGGTGCGCAAAGAAAAGTTGTATCTGCATTTCAGCAGCTCTTCAAGCTCGGGGCTCAGAGCCTTTATTTGGTCCCTCCCATAACTGCATTTCAGCTCAAATATGCTTTTGCACCTTCAAGGCCTTCATTTTTGTCAACTTAATAATTAAGCAAATAATCCCTTCATCATTTTAATTAATTAAGATAATAGCTGGGCCAAATTAAAAAAGCCAGAGCACACCTAATTAAGAGAGAGAGAGAGAGAGAGAGAGAGTTGTAAACTCATCAGAGCGTAGGCCTTGGACTTGCAATATACAGGTGTTAGTAACAAGGAAGGGATGGGAGGGAACAAAAATAGGAGGGGAGAGAATCCTCCTCCCTCGAAAATAAGTCATCATGCATTGATCAAATATAAAAAGAGATGCGAAATAAGTTACAGTAAGAGCAGCGCGCATGACGATTTTCTTAATGTGCTAACAAGAATTTCCGAAAAGAAATATATAGTTTAAAATCATGTATATATCATTATGCTTTCTAACATTTTGCATGTGATCAATGTTTCTCATTTGCTTTCTACATACTACACGACATACTTATCTACAACGGCGACGCTAATGATTTGTTGAGGTATCCCAAGTCAATTCACTACCATCCATTTTAACTTTTCAACAAAGTAGTGTGTGATTGGTTTGAGATACTATCTTCCCATCGCATTGAAGACCTTCTCCTACTTCACAGTCATCGTACAATGCTCATTCAACACAGCCTACAAATGCATACAGTAATGCAGCTGTGGGCAACACGCAAAATTGTACAATGACCCTATAGAAATGAATTCAATTAAATGTTGTACTGTGTGTATATGAAAAAAAGGACCGACATCAAACTAACAAGGCTCTCACTCCCGTTTTGTGAAAGTTGGGGCCGTAACCTTACTCTTACTTTACAAAGATGTTTCCTCCATATGTGTGAATATGCAAGTTTCTTTTTCTGGGTTTCATTTAATATTATTGCAGGTGCTGAGTGCTAAAGAGCTTAGGTCGTATTTATTGGAATAATAATTGTATAAAGCAATGGCCTAGCCTAGACAACTTTAGGTCCAGCCACCAACTTTTGCATCCTTTGAAAGAATGATGACTGGATGATCAAAACGACCCTCGGTTTCTGTGACAAGATAACCCTTATCCTCTGAAGGTTGAATAGGTTTTGATCGGGAAATGATTTCAGCGCTCTTTTTTATGTTTTGCGCCGTGATCTTATTTGATTTGTTCAATTTAATGACCAAACAAATAGAGGAGTACAAAGAATGCAGAAATTGTGTGCAAAAATCATTTTCCGCTTTAGTCGAGATGTAAACACATACCATTTTGAAAGCTTAAAGCCAAAGGACTCTCTCCCCACTCTTTTCATTGCGCAGTTGTAAAGAGAGAAGAAAGAAAAAAAAGGCATGCTTGAAAGCTTTCAAACAAGGGCATGTTGGCATACTTGCCCCGTTCATTCCACCATAAATTCTTAAATCCACCTAGGCCGTATACACCAACACACTCATATGAGTTCCTCTCGAATCTCGTCTTTTTTTAAGTATGCTGCCGTATACGGACACAGCAAGTATCCACAGTTGATGCGGTGTACCATAAAAGGTCACATTACTGGGGACAATGTAACAAGGATGATTTAAATTCAGCAGGGAATCAAATGCCAAACTGGAAAAGCAGTCAACAAGATTAAATTCAAGGAAAAAAAAAGAAGATATTAAACAAGAAAAACAAAAGCAGTCAATCATAAGAAAAGCCAAAATTCTGCTGTCAGGAATTGGATTTGGAATTTTTTTTTCTCTTTTTAAATGTTTGTTTTTGCTTTTGATGACTTCTATGATTACTTTGGTAAAATTTTATCTTGGGGATCATTTGTCACACAAAATTGTATAATCAAAAGCAATGATTGGAAATTGGAATTAGCCTATACTTTTGGACCAAATGCCTAAATCTTATGGGAAGATTGTGTGTGAAAAAGAACTTTACTGCTCAAGGATCCAAGCTAAACAGGGAAAGGAAATTAAATAGTATACCAAAAAATTAGACACTAACATATCATTGAAGATATCCCACAGCAAATAAAGAGAAAAATTGCATCATTAGTTATTGGATAATACTTGTGTTTTTTCGAGGAGAGATTTTTCAGTGTGCTTGGAAAATGGGGCAGATTCGGCAAAACACCATATGTTATTATATAATTGGATGGATGCTTGAAATAAAAACTTATCTGTAATTGTGTATCGTTATGTGTTTCGGGCATATTGAAAAATTTCTCATCCTTGAGGGGATGAGCTGGTTCCTCCATTTGATATGAACCAATCATGTCTTGACACGTGTTCATTCTTTTAAAATGAAAAATCAAATAACAAAGAAGCTTTGTTACTTAGTAATACGTTCTGGTGATATTCCTTTTCTCCTATAAGTGAGAGGTATTAGGTTTGAATCTTGTGGATGGCGAATTCGATACCAAATTAGGCTGCTCATTGTGTAGCTTAGTTGAACTCTTCCTTCCTCTAGTGTAAAAATATTGATGTACTAAAAATAAAAAACCCTAATTTATAGAAACTTCTAATCATGCTCAAACTCATAATCTGGATTTATTAAAATAAAAAAAATCAAACACATGAACACGTGTCAAGATATAGTTAGTCCATGTCAAAGGTAGGAACTTGCTCATCCTTAATTATTTTCTTTTGGTTGCTATGCATCATTTGCAGCCTTCTTATGATTTGAGTACTAAAGTTTAAGCAGTCTGTGATCTCATACGTTTTTCATAATTACCTAAAATATTTTTGTTTATGCAGATTGGAGGAAAAGGAGAAAAATAAAATGTATAGTTCCTTTTATAGGGGTTTGGCCTCCTTTTTAAATTAGCGAGAGAAAAATTAGCATTAATTTGAGGTTAATTAGGTAATTGTAGGTTAAGACAGTGTGCTCGTCCCTCATGCAACTTAAGTTCAAATTTCTCCCTTGTAGATTTAAAGAGGTAAACATTAATACAAGGAAATATGTAGTATGACCTTTAGAAGCCAATGCATTCACTACAAAATTAGTTTAATTTGATTGAACAGTGA